CCCTTTTTTTTTTTTTTTTGGCGCGGAGGAGGAGAAAATGCGTTACGCACCCCGGCCTACTGTTGGCGCCTTCCAAGATGATGTTGGAAATAGTCTGTTTCAGCCGGGAGTGTGGGACTACTACGTAGCCCCTAGTCTACCCACTAAAAACTCCCCCTCTCTTCCCGGTATCGCCCTCTCAGGCATTTCATCGGGGTATCTTGTCTTTTCCTTTATCTTACCTATCTTTCCTTATTTTTCATCGCGTCCCATTTTTTTTTTTTTTTTTATAACACGTCCCCTCTCTTTCATTTCTTCTCATCCCTCTCCTTTATCTTCATCACTTCGGTGAGGAACTCTATCACCGCTGTTCCGCTCTCCACCGTCTCCAGGATCATTTCAGCAGCATTTCTCTCGGTCACCTCTCTTCCTATTTTCCTCTTTGCCTCTTCACGCAGTAAATCGAAGTGTTTGCACTCGAAAATGGTGTGCCTTGGAGTATCCTCGACTCCGCATCCATACCAACAGCTATCAGATGGTATCTTCTTGATCTTGTTCAAATAACTCGCAAACGCTCCATGTCCTAGTATGGCCTGAGTGGCGTAATAATTCGTGATCGGGCTTCGTTCTTTCCACATGTTCACGTCCTTTATGAACACTGCTGCCCATCCCCTATACTGTGACCATCTCGCCTGCCAGCGCTGATTGATTTCTTCTCTATTGTGTAGTTTCTCAGCTCCTCTTGATTCCCAATTTCGCGCCCTCTCCCACACGAGCAAGTCATAAGGTGGACATCCAGCCAGCGCTCCCACGGCATCCGTTGCGGCAGTTCTATATGCCGAAGTGACGCATATCGACACTTTCCGTTCTATTGATCTCAGCATCGTTACATACTTCTTATGATTCAATGCCTGTTCCCATGCCGGGGCAGCGTATAGTATTACTGACTGAATCACTGTTGCGATCAGTCTTCTCTTTCTGTCGCTGGGGCCTCTAACTTTGGGCATTATGCCAGACATCGCGTTTATCATCTTCGCCGCTTTTTCTGTCACCATCTTTACGTGCGTCGTCATCCTGGTGTCCTGGTCTATGTTTACACCTAGATATCTAACAGATCTTGTGCTCGATGTCTTGGTACCGCCGACGTTTATTTGCGCTGTTTCATATTTTCTTCTCCCCTCTAATATCACCATCTCCGTCTTTTGGGGGGCCAGCTGAAGGCCCATCTCTTCTAGTTTTCTGGTAATCACCTCTATGCAGTATTCTGCGTTTTCTTCCACTTCTTGCGGCGTTGATGCTTTCACTACCACAGCAAGATCGTCAGCATAGCCGATTATCTCCACTCCCGCTTCTCTACTTACGCGTAAGACTCTATCATAATAGATATTCCACAGTGTTCCGCCCAAAGCCGAGCCCTGAGGAACTCCGCAGGTCATTTGCTCTTCCCTTCCGTCCGGCAAGATCACCGTTCTCTTTGAAAGATAGGATGATATTAATCTTCTTATTTCTCTGTCAATTCCGCATTCTCTCAATGTGCTTCTTACTTGCGACCACGGTACCGAGTTGAAGGCGTTTTTCACGTCTAACATCACCATCACTTGGTAGCCTCTATGGGTCGAGGAGACCTTTTTTCGTTCTTTCACGTCTGACAGAATTTTCATTACAGCATCCGTAGTACTTCGTCCTTTCCTATACCCGAACTGCGTTTCGCTAATTATTTGTCCATCTTCCAATTGTTCTATAAGGCGATTATTTACTATTCTCTCTAGCAGTTTTCCTACTGTGCTCAACAGGCATAGGGGTCTGTATGACGTCTCATCCTCTCTTTTCTTTTTTGGCTTTTCTATTAGCAACAGAACCGCTCTTCTCCACGCTTCCGGAAAGATCCCCTTTTCCAGGCATCCGTTAAATACTCTTAAAAATATCTCCGGGTTCGCTTTTACGCATGTCTTTAGGATCTCGTTGGTTACTCCGTCCTCCCCGGGCGCTCTCTTAGGTTTGAGTTGTGTTACGCTGGTTTCTAGTTCTTCCCTCGTTATTCTTTTCGGTCCCTCTTGATTTGTTGGATCCGCCTCAGCTCTCTCTTCTTCCTCTACACCTTCCTGTATTCTTGGGAAAAGTTTGTGGAATTGTTCGTCTAATGTTTTGACGTCTATTTCTTGTCCTTTCCTTACTCCCAGTCGCTTCATTGCCACCTGGTATGCCGTTCCCCAGACATTTTTCTCGAGCTCCTCACACATCTCCGCCCACCTTTTCTCTTTACTTTTCCTTATCATTCGGTCCAAGTTTTTCTTTTTCTCTTTGTATTCGCCGTTCATTTCTTGCTCTATTTCCGTCGGTACGCGTCTTTTTCTGTTTCTTTGGAGCATCCTTCTCTTTTGTATACATTGTCTTCTAGCTTCCGCTATCTCGGCGTTCCACCAGTAGACGCTTCTGCAGTCATTGGGTTTTCTTTTTCTTAGTTTCTTGTCGCACGCCTCTTTTATCGCTTTCATCAAGCTTACTTCGTCGGGGTTTTGTATTTTGTTCGTTTCTATTCTAAACTGTTCTCCCAGGAGCATCAAACCTTTTGGCGTTGTTCTCCAGCCCTTCATTGTGCGTCCGTCTTCCCTTTCTACGGTACTGTTTGCTAGCTCATATCTTATCATGCCGTGATCGCTGAGCATTTCAGTTTCGACCGACACCCTCCATTTAAGAATTCTAGGCGCCAACTCCTGGCTTACTATGGTCAGGTCTATCACTGACGCGCCTCTTACACATGTGTAGGTGGGAATGTTTCCTCTGTTGGCTATAACCATTTTGTTTTTTATGATCCATTCCTCCAAAATCATACCCCTTGCGTTTGTTTTCGTATCGCCCGCCGTTTTGACTCTTGCGTTAAAGTCGCCGCCTATGACTACCGGTTTCTTTGTGTCGATCAGTACTCGCTCCATTTCGTCAATCAGGTTTTCGAACTCCTCATTTGAGCGGTTTGGCGAAAAATACGCTGACATCACTGTGTACTTTTTTAATTCGGCGGCTATATAACCCTGCCCCTTGTACCATCTTATGGGTCTTTCGGTTTCTTTTTGAATCTCAAGAAAGCAGTCTCCTTCGCTATCTGTATGCAGACTTTGTGATTTTCTTAAGTTCGGCTCCTGACCGATTACTATACCTATCCCTTTCTTTCTCCTTTCCCTTTCTATTAGGTCGTGACAGACCCATCTTCCATTGCAGTTTAGCTGCATTATCTTTACTTTGTTGCTGGTCATTTTTAATTGCTTCTCTCTTCTCCTTTCCCTTCTCTGTCGAGCTCGTTCCCGGCGTCCCCGACCCTTGTTTTTTCTTTTTACCTTTTATTTCTTTCCATTCCTCCCCCTTACTTTCCTTCTCTTTGTTGGTGGTCCCAAGTTTCTGTTCTATCGGCGTTTCTTCACTTTCCGATTTCCTCCCATCCTGACTTTTCAGGGGGGTGCTGCATTCCATTTGTTCTCCTCTCGAGTCGTTCTTTTCTGCCTTCTCTGTAGGTGACTTTGGTGATGTCTCTTCTTTTGATTCAAACTGCTTCTTCCTCTGTGTTTCTTGCTGTGCTTGACGCCGATAGGTTTTACACCCTCCGCTACCCGCTCTATGTCCTTCTGCTCCGCATTTGGGACAATTAGGGGGGTTCTTACATTCTTTAAGTTGGTGCCCTTCTTCTCCACAGTTATAACAACAGTTTGTCCGGTCTGGTCCGTTGCAATCTCTCGCCAGGTGACCCGTCGACCAGCATCTCCAGCATCTGGTTGCTCTTTTCCTTTCTTCGACCCGACACATCGCTAGTCCCACCCTTATTTTCTTTTCTCTTATCAATATCTGGGCACATTCCGTTTTCAGCTCTACGGTTACCGCCATCATACTACCGGCATACGGCCGTAGAGAGCTCATCTTAAAATTGGCCTCGTCTATTTCGCCTGTTTTTCCAATTATTGCCTGCTTTATTTCGCCCTGCCCAGTCGTTATCATTAGTCCCTTAATATTAATTACGGTGTTGGCTCCTTCGCGTCGTCCCATTCCCCTGCCTGTTACCGTTTGGCCTTTTTCGTTTCTCAGCACATTTTGTAGTTCTCTTGCTGCTTTCTCTTCCTTTTGGGTGGTTATTAGCACTTTCCCGTCCCTCGTGCTTCTAATCTCCTCTATTATTTCCGCCTCTCTCTTCTCCTCCAACCTACTTCTGATTCCTTCTACTGTTTCTTCGTAAGTCTTTCCTGGTCTTTCTACTATTATGGCGTACGTTTTTCTTTCGTTATCTTTCTTTACATCCCTCTCTTCCTCATCGATTTTCGTCTGCGTCGTGTATATTTCTATTTCGGTGTTAGAATCTTTGAAAACCACTTCGAGCATTTTTCTAAACCTAGTTAATTTTATTTGTCTTAGATGGTGTATCGCAATTTTCTTTTCGCTCGTGTTATTCCGTCTAAGCTCTTCTAGTGCTTTCCATATCGAGTCGTCCGTACCCTTTGTCATCAGCTTCACTACCTTCTCTTTACTTTCTCTTTCTTCGCCTCTAATTCTTTTTCTCGTTATTTGTTCTATTTCTTCGTAGTTTTCGCAGATTTCTGAGAGTTCGGGGTACGCTCTCCTGTACTGATTTTGGATACTTTTGTCCATATCCGGGTCATCGGGTTCGACGATCACTACCCTAGTTGTTATTTCCCTTTGCCAGAGCGGATTTCCCTCCTTTACATTTGTTTTCTCAAAGCTCTCCTCGGGCCACTTCATGTCTACCGTTTTGACCCAGTCCTCGAAGGTTCTGGCGTTTCTTATTTTATTTACCTCATCATTCTTCCTTCTGTCTTCTTCTGTTTCAGTTTGCGTGCATTTCTCCCTTCCTGGGATCTTAAATTCTTTTCGTTCTCCCGCCGTATCTACCCATTTTTTAATTTCGTCTCTCTCGAAAACTTCCACCTGTCTCTGCATTTGCTTTATTATTCTCTTCATCTCCCGTTTCGTATTCTGTTCCTCATTTTGTTTTAACGATTTCACCAGATTTATCATATTCTCTATACCCTTCTTAACTGTGGCTGCGCTTTTCGCATTTTCGTTTTCTTCCTCCACGTTTCTTTTTTCTGAGCTATCGTGTCCGGGCATCCTCTTCCTCTTCTTTCTATCTCTTTCCGGAGTTTTATCCTCCATAGGTGTTTTTCTTTCTAACGTACCATCAAAAGACGGATGTCTTACACGCTCTGGCGTTTGACTTTCCAGGTCCATATTTAACGTGTCTACCACGGTGTTATTCAGGGTTTCCCCTACTTCCTCCTCATCCTCATCCGTTTCTGAGGTGGCACTTGAAATGCTCTCCGGTTCCTCCGCTACATTCTTTGGTGGTGAGCGGCTCAATAGCGAGCTTCGACGGAAGGCGAAGTACTCGCTGCCTTGGCTAGCAAGGCCTGGTAAAGGTGAATCTACGTAATCTCGACGGGCCGATTCTTCCCGACGAGTAGTAGCGCACGGCACTGTTTGGCAGGTGCGCTCATCCGAGGCTTTATCATTATTTTGTGACATCGCATTTATTGGAGGCTATATGCTAAGCCCGTACCCAGTGACTCCTCACTGGGCCCCTGAGGGGGAACCCAACCCAACCCAACCCTTTTTTTTTTTTTTTTGGCGCAGAGGAGGAGAAAATGCGTTACGCACCCCGGCCTACTGTTGGCGCCAATGGAACTTATGAACTTCGGCCGGGAGTGTGGGACTGTTGAAGCCCCAAACTACCCACTAAAAACTCCCTCTCTTTTCTAAAAGGGGTCTTGGTGCCCTGTTATGTGTTCGGGATGTTAACGGTCTCGGGCGCCACCTTATGTTTAGAGAGTTAAGGAACTCTTTCGCCTCCAGGTAACTTTTGGGGGTTACAGTCGGAGATCCAGGGATTCGGTATGGGAAAGAAGAAAACAAGAGAAATTCGGAAAACAAATAACTATCAACTTTATTAAAAATAAAATAAACGAATAGGAGGGCAGTTTATTGCTTTGTGACCACGGTCGGAGAATGGGGACGGTGGGAATAAATTGACAAGACTTTGACTTTATAATAAATGAGTTTAAATTAAACAAATAAAAAAAATGAGGCGGAGGTATGGGATACACCTGGAAACCTTCCTAAGGTGCAAAGGAACGGAATACTCGAAGAACCTTCCAAGAGTATTAAGGTTGGGACAAAATGTACAACAATTAATGAAAATTAACAGCAAAATAAAATCAAAGTCTATCAAAATAAATTGGACTTACGGTAAACTGAAATACGGATATTTCGGAAATTAACTGTTGACGAAGACTGTTGTAGTACTTGTTAAAGACGGTCGTAGTACCGTGGGC